CAGCAGTGTGATATGCATTATCTCATTAAAAATTTCAAAATAAGATATCAGAATAACTCCAAAATCACTGCATTTTATTACTGTTTTTCTTTCCTTTATTGTGTTACTATGTAGACCCTGTTTCTTCAGATGGTTTTGTTAAAACAGACCTCAGTTGTGTTTGTGAAAAGTGGGACTGCAGCCCTGGGGCAATGCAGTGAGATAGGGTAAGAGCAGACAGCAGAGATTGCAATCCCAAATAACACTCTCCCTTCCACTTAGCAAATGTAGCCAGATGCTAGCAAGCCATTATTGCCAGTCCATCTCAAAGAAAATCAATTTGTTTTGTTTCAGTTTGCTTTTGTTTCTCGCTCATTATTTATAATATTCGTTTGTCATTTTTGTCATTTTATAGAGCTTCCAAGAGCAGCTGTCAGGATCTTAAGCAACATGACATTCCTTTTTGTGAGTTTGTCATACACAGCTGAGAGTGCCATTGTCACAGCTTTTATTACCTTCATTCCCAAGTTCATCGAGTCACAGTTTGGCATCCCAGCTTCCAATGCCAGCATCTACACTGGTAAGGCATTGCCACGCAGTGTAACGTTGAAAAAGTTGGCGTTCTTTAATGAAATGATTCAATGTAGAAATGAACCAAAAACGTGCTTGTTAGAACAGATGATTGGATCCAGCTTTGTGTACTTGATTAGATATTTAAGCTGTTCTTTGATGTTTGCTATATGTGTTTAGTAAAATGTGAACCCATTTATATTGTTAAAGGGATGGGTTTTTTTACATAAACCTAGACAGACATTTTCTAATGTGTTAATGGTCTTCAGGGAGGAAAAATGCAACAAAAACAGTCTAGAGAACCAACAGGTATTACTGCAGTTTATGCACTTTAAAAGATCTTTTAAAGCTGTTCTTATTTTGTGTGAATTTTATTTTGTCTTTGATTTTCAAAATACCCTAATCTTTCTTTTTCCCCAGTGACAAGTTGTTCATCTGTCTCATCTTTCAGTTCTCTCTCCCCTCCAGGCTGGTGATTTTCTCCTTATTTACTTATTAAAATGGAATGCATAGCAATCTAGTCTAGTCAGAAGAGCCCCCCAGATCCTCTCCCACCTGTCATTTCAGGTCCGAGACCCCTCTTTTGCAGATGTGGCACTTACCCTGCTGCCACAGCAATGTACAGCGGAGTCCAACTTCTAACAGAGCTACAAATGACGAAATTTTAAGCTTCATACTGCTCTGTGGGAGGGAGAGATGGGAACTTCCCTAGGGAAAGGGGCCAAAATGTTGTGCAGAATTGGGGCTCATGAAATGCAGATCATCTCCCTTCTCTCTTAGCTGCATCAAAGACACTTGTCTTGATAAGCATCTTTTCGACTTCTCCATAGTGCTTCCCATGTAGAATAGCTGCTAATTGCTAGGCAGGTTAGTTCTTTGCCCCCACCATGCTTCAGATATTATGCCTGAAAAGGAGTGATGGAGTGGAGAATTGTGGGAACAGAGGTGAAGTATGTAGTGGGAAGCTGTCCAGGGTCATCAGTCAAGGAAGAGACAAAAAGTAATAGAAGAAAAAGAGAAAAGGACACAGACATCTCACATGGGAATTGTTTGTGAGCTGCAGCAGCTGGAAGAAATGCGAGGTGTCTTTCTAGAATGCAGAGGGAAAACATCAGAGAAGCATCATGTAGTGACTTCTGTTTGAGAGCTTGCTGGAATGAGATTTTCTTCGGGGCATGAAATCCTCCTTCAGGGAGGAAACATTGGTTGATGGGACTGTGATTCTATCTGAAGCTTAGGGTAGCTACACACGCATAGGAGTTCTACTGTAATGAGTTTTGATGGTATTGCTGCTCCATAACTCTCTCTGTTCTCAGGATAAACCAGAAACATTCTTGCCAGACAGAATATTCAACAGTCAGCACATTAAAAGAGCGAAAAATTACATGACTACCAGGGTGTGAAGCTGGTAACATCTGTTGTTTTCCCTGTTATAAATTGTTTGATAAAGACTATTATAATGAACCAGAAGAAGAAAATTAAATAGCTTAGGCTGGATGTGCAACATGGGCAAGTGAGCACTGCTTCCACAACTCCAACTCCTTGGGGATTCTGTATTAGGTTGCTACTGGCTAATCTAGTAAAAGACATGTCCAGTTTACAAACTTCTGGTTAGCAAAAGGAGGACTTACATGTTTTTTGTATTACTACATCTATGGTTCATATGTACATCGCCGACTGAGTATGTGTGTTTGCTGAATCTCTTTGTGTTACTGAAGTATATTTTTTATTGGTCATTTTCTGTGTCAATTCATAAGCAGGAAATCTTTAATTAAGTCTCAATTTGTTTCTGTCTTTAAAGAAACCTGGCATTAATCACGAGCAAAAATGCCATGTGCCACGCTTCATGTCTTGAACTTGTGCAGCTTGTGCTGCAGTCTTTGTCTTGTCTGGAGTTTTGTTTTCTGTGTATGGATCAGGTGGCATTCAGCCTTTAGGATTTCTGAAGTCCAAAAAACCAATGAACTTTGACTTTTGGTTACAGGTAGATCTTAAACAAATCCAGATTAAAATTTCAGGTGCTTTACTAGCTGATTTATGGGTGGAAAAGAGAGTTACAATTCAAATAATTTGTAATTGAAAGAACCACACAGTATGTGTTATAAAGCACTGCTCTGGTAACTTCTGCTAGAATGGTTATAAACACATTGGATCTACCTTTAGTTCTAGAAAAGATATAACATAGACAGAATTGATTTGAAGATGTCCACAGTATTCCCTTTGGAAGTGTAGCCTGCTCAGCAGATATTGCAGTTTTCTGTTCCCAGACTATTAGTAGCTGTTAAGATCATCTTTTGCCCCGGTGAAAAGCCTCAAGTGCCTCAGCATCCTGACAACAGCAAAAAGGATAAAGCTTGAAAATTGCTGACTGAAACCTGATATTGTTTCAGAACACTGTACCTAGGAGTGTATTTGGCAGATGCATAATTCCTGTAAGCCGAACTGTCATTATAAAATGAAGGAAAGTGCAACGCAACAGTTTAGTATCAGATCTTAAGCTTAATTCCTCTAAATGCCTTTGAAAAAGAAGAATGCATGTCCTGATTAGATGTGCATGCTTTGCTTTGCCCTGGAAGCACCTCTGGAAGTGCACTGTAGTAGCTGTGTTTCTTTGACAGTACATCACTTCTGATTTCACATCCCCTGCAGAAACAGAGGGGCATAAGGATGTAGAGTTTGTATTTAGGGCAAAAGAACTTGTCAGGCTTCCTGACACATAGGAGGGAATGAGCACTTCTGACTACTGCCTTCACCACAAACAGCGAAATCTGCTCCTTCTCCTTCCAATTTCTCCCAGAGACAGAGTTTTTCCATCCCCAGCTTCACTTTGCATGGAGGAATTGGTCTTTATACTTCTTCTGTGTAGGCTTTCCTTTACCTTTCCATCTTCCTGAATGAGAGCAAGCCTTGGCAGGCAATTTGCTCATGTTCTTCTCCTCATTTTTAATGTTTTGATCTTCATGACAAGGCAGAAGATGGATGAAAATAGCAGTGTAGTATAGCTCACTGATGGAAGAACGACTAACTTAATTCCTCGCAAAATATTTACATGCTCAGTTTTGACAAGGTACTAGACGTACACACACACATTCTCATTTGTAGTGAAGGGCTTTTCCAATATACATGCCCTCAAAGGATAAGAAAGAAAAGGTAAATTCAAGTCCAAAAGAGGTTAAGAACTCAAAGCTAAGCTATAAGATGGAAGGAAGAAGAGTAAAATATTGAGGTTAATTTATCATCGGTAATTATCATCACCTTGGGCTAGATCCTTGGTTCATATAATTAATGTAGCTGTGAGTTTGGTCTATGGAATTTGATTCACCTGATAGGGGTGTTTTAGAGGGCATTGCAAGTGATCCCAGTCCGCCTTCAGCATGGATGTGGGCTTCTCTGACACAGATTTCATAGAGCAGGGCATGCCTGGTAGACTCAGATGGCTGAGTTACCATTTTCACCCAGAGGGAACATTTTCAGTGCAAGTGAAAGGATTTGCATTAGTTTTTCTCCTCGTTCATATTCAGTCATTGAAGGTGAGAGATATAACAGCTTTAGAGAGATAACAGCTTTGAACTTTGTGAAAATCATTTAATTCTCCTAGAAGGGCTTATACATTTAAATTCTGCTCTTATGAGAAAGACTGGTTTTGAGTCTGTGAAGAGTTATTATTAAGAAACTTCCTCATGAAATGACATTTTATTTTATAATGCCATTGGTGATGGCAGTATAATTAAGGCGACAACTATTTTTACCTCTTATTTTTACTTTCATGATCTCAACATTTTGATAAATATAAAGACCCCTTCACCTTTAGACAAATTAGCAGAGAATGAGAATGCTTTTCAGTAATATTAAAGATATTGGCAAGTGATATTTTTACTGTCTTCTTTAAAAAGAAGAGCAACATCTTTAAGTATTTGGATTATAAAGTTTAGCTCCTTCTCCTTAGATGCAGCTGCCAAAAGTTGTTCAAATTCCATATTCATGTGGAATGCATCTTTATTAGCAAAGACCTTATTTAGGGACCTTCTCACATGTTAGTGAGAAGCAGAAGCTGTGGGAAGCTAAGAAGTGCAAGACGTTCACTGACACCACCACCTCAGGCCCTGGGAAGTGAGGACAGCCCAGTGACACGTTGCTGAACTGCCACCTTATAACTGCAGCAGCAGAGAGACAGAAATTTCATGGACATGACTTTTGTGCCTTAAATTTACCCTAATACTAATTCTAGTATCTTAATTTAATCGTGTTTGATCAGTTTGCACTCCACAAGGCCGCACTGGGGTGACTGGGGCTGCCAGTTGTAGGAAGGTGCCATTCAACTTGAGCAAAGTATCCAGATGGCAGAATTTGCAGCCAGGCTTACGTGTGCGCTCCCAAGTGGGAAGGCATCTGGGGTCCTGCCTGAGGTTAGCACTTGTGCTTCACTGAAATTAATCATGAGAGTAGGAAGAGGAAGGTTTGTGTCCAAATCTGAATTTCTTCAAATTTTCAGTAATTAAACTGGAGTGACGTGCATCCTATCCCTTCTCCCCATTCTAAAATAAATACAAAGCAATGTTTCTGCTTCTAAGTACAATAGTTCTCTTATAGTGCTTTGGCTGCTGGTAATATCATAAGGAGGCTTTTATTAGTTCTTTGACAACACTCCAGAGGTTTGAAAAGTCTGACTCAGTTTGCTAGCAGAGAATCAGACAATGGAGATCTTAGTGCAGCATTTGTAGTCCTAATTAGGGAATCAACCCAATATTTATATTTTATACCATTCCTATAGGTCCTGTTGTAATGTTGCTTGATTTTCTTCCTGGCAGGTGTGATTATTGTCCCGAGTGCTGGTGTTGGTATTGTCCTAGGCGGCTACATTATAAAAAAACTGAAACTTGGTGCGAGAGAGTCTGCAAAGTTGGCTATGATCTGCAGTGGTGTGTCTCTGCTCTGCTTTTCAACTCTCTTCATTGTTGGATGTGAAAGCATTAATCTAGGGGGAATAAATATACCTTACACGACTGGGTAAGTATCTTGGACTCATCTGTGGCAAAACCAGCTTTTTCCAGTAAGCCTGATAAAGAAATGTAAAAAATGCTGATGGTTGATGTCTTGAAGAAGCCACACGTTCAAATGAGAATGCGATGAGTATTGTGATATGAACATACGCTGTTACTATGTGGCCCTTCGGTTTTACATCTAGTTTATAGTGAAGCTTATGTAATAACTCACCTTTTTGAGGAATGGGAAAATGCATTAGAATGTACTTCAGTGATTTTTGCAGGAAAAAAAAGAATATTGTACTCTGTAGATTGCTCAGAGTTTAGTTGGTGTTTCGAAATGTTTTCTGCTCATGAAATTGTGAAAATACTAAAGGGATTATAAAGATTGCGTCTGAATAGGTTGGTTTGTTACCACCGTAATAGTGTCTTAGGTCTACAACCCCTACTTGAGATGAATCACTTGGGCATGTGCTATCAATGTTAGTGGTGTGTGCTGCTTCTGAACTCCTTACTAGATGTATGGATGCCCTCCGGTGCTTGCTGGATCATCACCAAGACACGGATTAGATCACGACCCTTAAAGGTATATTGAAAATGAAGAATGCTTTCATGAAAAAGAAGGTGTGGATGCAGGAAGGTATTGGGAGTGAGGGATTTAGGCTGTGACATTGAGAAATGCATGGAAGGGCATTTTAAAGAAATGAGGGATATTTGGAAGGAGGACAGTGTGGTAAAAGTTGTAAGCAGGTAATTCCTCAGAAGCCTGATCATGAGCTTTTATTTTATTTCTTGTTTTGAGATTTGGAAGACAGCATAGAAGAAGTGCAGAGCAGGAAAAGAGATGATGAAATGGGGTAAAAAAGAACTACAGTGGGGCAATGAGCAAGTCAAGTGAAAAACAAAGAGGAAAAATGGAAAGCAAGGGAGGAAGAAAATAGGCACTGTTTACACAGAGAATATTTTGCATTGCGTGTTGCTAGATGTTGCTACATTGATGTTAAACCCCAATCCCAGAGCAAGGAAAACCAGCAACTGAAAGTCATGAGCTAATGGTTTACTCATTTGTACTCTTAATACCTAGAGTTAAAGCTGAGTGGCTGACTGTAGAGGGGAGTAGCATGGTGATATATCCTCATCTGAGCATAGTGGGCTGAAAAAGGACAGAATGAGGATGGGAAGGGGGTGGAATGCTTTGTTTGTCCACCTTCTGTTGATCTTTGTGACAGCCTGTAGGCGTAGATGAAGAAATGAAAATTATTAGGAATGAAAGCATAGATTTCAGATAGCAATGAATTGAACTGTTTGGCGAGTCACAGTATCCCTGCCTGGCTAATGAGAAGGCTGTAGTTTTCTGTTTGTGTGAAAGTGTTATTTAATTTAAATCTGTTTCTAAAGTGAAGAGAAGGCAAACTATTGCTGTGTAACACATAACTGTCACACTGGAATTGTAAGAGTATCTATTTTTTTTTTACAGTAAGTAATAACATTTGCAGTAAATACATAGCATGAACTGAAACAGGCATCTATTCACAGCTGTTATGAACGTCTGCAGTAGCAGTACTTCTTTACCACCTTCATCTAATTGTTCTTATTGAGAAAAGAGGTGAGAGATGGTAATGGCAAAATTCTCAGAAGTGTTGAGGTATATCAGCTCTTGGAAATCACTATAAAAATAAGTATGCTTAGGCTGTAATGTCATCATAAATTGAGAATTACCAGCATGTTATAAAGCACCGTTCAGCAGTTTGCAGCCTCAGCCCTATATGTTTTTTTCAATGCAGGTATCAAATACAAATTTATTGTCAAAATGATAATAAAGAAGCAAGACTACACATAAATTCTTCTTGAATATCTGACATAGAATCATAGAATCATAGAATGGTTAGGGCTGGAAGGGACCTTCAAAGGTCATCTAGTCCAACCCTCCTGCAAGGAACAGGGACATCTCCAACTAGATCAGGTTGCTCAGGGCCTCATCCAACCTGGCCTTGAACGTCTCCAGGGATGGAGCATCCACCACCTCTCTGGGCAACCTGTTCCAGTGTTCTACAACTCTCATGGTAAAAAATTTTTTCCTAATATCCAACCTGAATCTACTTCCCTCTATTTTAAAACCATTACCCCTTGTCCTATCACAGCTGGCCCTCCTGAACAGCCTCTCCCCATCTTTCCTGTAGGCCCCCTTGAGGTACTGGAAGACCGCTATAAGGTCACCCCGGAGCCTCCTCTTCTCCAGGCTGAACAGCCCCAACTCTTTCAGCCTGTCCTCATAGGAAAGGTGCTCCAGCCCTCTTATCATCTTCATGGCCCTCCTCTGGACCTTTTCCAACTGGTCCATGTCCTTCTTATGTTGGGGACTCCAGAACTGGACGCAATACTCCAAGTGAGGTCTCACAGGGGCAGAGTAGAGGGGGAGAATCACCTCCCTCGACCTGCTTGCCATGCTCCTCTTGATGCAGCCCAGGACGCAGTTGGCCTTCTGGGCCGCAAGAGCACATTGCCGGCTCATATTGAGCTTCTCGTCCACCAGTACTCCCAAGTCCTTCTCCTCAGGGCTGCTCTCGATCCATTCTCCGCCCAGCCTGTACTTGTGTCTGGGATTGCCCGACCCAGATGTAGGACCTTGCACTTGGCCTGGTTGAACTTCATGAGGTTGGCACGGGCCCACCTCTCCAGCCTGTTGAGGTCCCTCTGGATGGCATCCCTCCCTTCCAGCGTGTCGACGGCACCACACAGCTTGGTGTCATCGGCGAACTTGCTGAGGGTGCACTCCATGCCACTGTCCACGTCACCGACAAAGATGTTGAAGAGGGCCGGGCCCAACACGGACCCCTGAGGGACGCCACTCGTGACCGGTCTCCACTTGGACATGGAGCCGTTGACCACTACTCTCTGAGTGCGGCCATTGAGCCAATTCCTTATCCACCGAGTGGTCCATACATCAAACCCATGCCTCTCTAGTTTAGATAGAAACATGATAAACATTCTCTTAATCTTCATGGTCAATCATTTGATAGTTTCAAATCATTTACTTAGTAGACAACTCTTTAACTCAGAGATCAAAGAATGTTATTGTTCATGTAACAAAAAAGCACGCTTTCATTTTGAGGTTTAGTAAAACACATGCTTCATTCTGTCGTTCCAATGCAGTGCAGCGTATGGACATCAAAGCCAGTTCAACAGGCTAGATCGGATGGGAGAAGCAGTACAGCTACTTGGTTCAGAGTAAATGTCTTGCATGATGCTCTACACTAACATGACTGTCCCGGGTCTGAGGTCTGAGCTACCTGCGCTGGCAGCAGCCCAGAGATCTCAGCTGCATTGGGCAGCGTAGGCATTCCCTGCAGGAGACTCTTCTCTGGACAAACATGTTCAGTTCTACTGTTCTTTTCTTTTTTCTTTGATGAACTGAGCCATAAACGAGTACAGAGGAAAAGGATAAGCTGGGTTTTAGTTGACATAGAAGTACGTGCATACCAGTACTCGGCAAAGTAGGCAATGATATTTCATAATTCAGTATGTTTCGTAACTCAGTATTTTTCCAACTGTACCAGCTGTGAGGAAGTGGTTGGGACCTGGAGGCATGCACAGATTAGAATACATTTGCAAGGATTTTCTGCTGGTTTATGTTGGGCACAAGCAGCTTTGCTGTTGTTGTGTGTCATCAGCACTTCTGTTATCAGGAATACCAAGGGCACCTCTGTATTATACATCTCAGCATTTTAGAACCTGTTGTTCTGTGCCCCAGCCTTGTCTCTGAAGGCATGTTTGATATTTGAACACAGTGTAAAATATGTGTTATTTTACACAATGTCAAAATGCATCCCTTCTCTTGCACCATAATGAGAAGTCCTCAATCAGTGAATTGTCTCCTTGTCTAGGCAGCTTTTGAAGATCTCCAAGGAAGGAGACTCCACAGCCTCTCAGGGCAACCTGTGCCAGTGTTCGGTCACCCTCACAGTGAAAAAGTGTTTCCTGACATTCAGAGGGAACCTCTTGTGTTTCAGTTTACGCCTCTGGTCCCGTCACTGGGCACCACTGAAAAGAGCCTGGCTTTGTCCTCTTTGAACCTTTACTTCAGGTATTTGTATACATTGATGAGATCCCCCTGAGCCTTCTCTTCTCCAGGCTGCACAGCCCCAGCTGTCTCAGTCTTTCCTCAGAGGAAAGCACGTTAGTGGCCCTTCAATGGATTATCTCCAGTACATCCATGCTTCTCTTTTACTGGGGAGCCCAGAACTGGACCCAGCACTGCAGGTGTGGCCTCATCAGTGCTGAATAAAGGGGAAATAGCAGAGATCAACTACTTTGGTTCTTTATAGACCTGTCCTTTCCATGTTTTGTAGTATAAAGCAACTAAAACAGGCTCTATGGGGAGCTTACTCATAGTGGCAAATTCCTGGATTAGTTTAGTTCCATCTCTCTCATTTCTGGTGTGTAATGAATCAAAACAGACCATTTTGATTGCTTTTTGTTGTTTTGGTGCAATTAAGGTTTAGTTAAAGCATGCAGTTGACTTACTGAGGCACTCCACATAAAAAAAAAAAATTCTATTCTTAACTCTTGTACCACTAGTTTGGGTTTCTATTAGTCTTGTATCTCTTTCAGTCCAATGAGCCAGTTGGATCCCTTAACTTGAAAGCAGTGACTAATTGGATCAGAACAATAACAACAAAGAAGGAATCCAGCTAACACAGTGAGAGGGTCCCTTGTTTGACAGCTACACAAAAATTGCATCATTGCTGCAATTCCAGCTGTTTGCCAACAAGGAGACTGCAGACCTCTGCCATCCAGAATGTCCTTCAATACCAAACCAAAAATATAGCTATCAAATTAAGATAATCCTTTTTATCTTATAGCCCAATATTAAGATAATAGAAATTATATGGTGAGGGTTTATCTCCTTTCCTTTGTGTTTCCTTGGTCCTGTAGGTTACTAAAGCGATCTAAACAGATATGAATAAAATCATGTGCAAACCAATTCTTTGTTTAAATGTTACTAAAATATAGTCAGGCACTGTT